TGAAATAAAGTGATTAAACAAAAATTATTACAAATATCGTAAATAACAGTTCACAAATGCATATACAGTAGAGCCTCGATTATCCGACTCAATTGGGGACTGGGGTTGGTCGGATAATTGATAAGTCGGATAACCGAAAAGTATGAAAAAATCCATTATTAGTGTAGTATATTATTATATCCCATGTAATTAGTATATTAGTATATCGCTATTAATCTATTTTGAGTTGATTTTTCATTGATGTTAAGCCTAACAAAAATTTTTTAAAATAATAATCGTCACTATTATATCGTTAAAAATTAGAAAATTAAGCCACGTTTAAATACTGGCGCCCTTTCATGGTTGAATGAGTGTTGCCAGCTAAAACAGCTAAAAATACTATTAAAGTAGCCAAGACATAGCCAAATATTGTAGCGCCACATCACTAGCGGACATTTGAAATTTGCCGACTAGGACGGTCGGTTAACCGAGGTGTCAGTTAATCAGGGGGTCGGATAATCTAGGCTCTACTGTATAGAGATATTTTTTGAAGGGGGGAAATGGTCTTCACAATTTGAAATCGATCGAACACACAGTGCTCGAATGCTTGTCTAAACGTGCGCCGTCTATCATAGTATAAATGCCAGAAACCTTTGCGGGAGTATATTAAAAAACTTCCCAAAGTTTTATGGCAATTGTACTATGCCACAAACCTTTGCGGGAGTATATTAAACAACTTCCCAAAGTTTCATGGCAATCAGATAAACGGTGTGGTAATGCATGAAGGACACACACACACACACACTCACACACACTCATTCATTCATTTTTATATATATAGATGACCACTGTATTCCTTTTTTGTGTGTTCATGAAAACCAAACACTATGTGCTTGGAAATTACTATATTTTTGTACAGATTACTCCTGGGGATTATCTACATTTGGAAATAGTACGAGTTATGCAATGAAATGAGTTATATATTGATTTTAAATTGCAGTTATGAACTTATCATACTGCTTTTTTTTGTCTAAAGCCATTAAGAGCATTGTTAGAAAATATGAAATGTGAAATGCTGTGAATTGCCTGGAATTGATTGTGATATAGTGGAACACTGGATGTTAAGCTTTCTTCCATTATTATTGGTTAGTTTCCAAGAAATATTTTGAACAAAGATGAAACAAGATTGTTTTTTTGTACTCACTTGGACATAATTTTGTGCTTCAAGATTGGATCATGTTCTGGTATCAAAATAGCAAAAATAATGACTAATAATTGTTATGTATGAATATGAGTGAGGATACAAGAAACTCGGATCGTATACTTAACACCTTTTATTACAATTATTTTCAGAAATTGTTTTATTTTTACTAATGTTTTCAACCTAGTTATGCTTCCATCTTGTACTAGACATAATAATTATAATAAATTAATTCAGTTTTCCTGGAAGAAAAGAATTGGCCTGGAATGGGACCACTCTTATCTACCATGCAGATGCATTGCCAGTGCACTAACCAGATTTCCAAGAAATCTTTCCAGAACTATCAATTTAGTTTTAATCACATAGCCATACTATAGCTCAATAATTCAGCAATTATTTGTTTTATTTCCTCGTTATTCCATTATTTAACTCGGGTCACCAAACTATGGCCTGCAGGCCAGATCTGGCTCACAAGGTCAGTTCATCCAGCTTGCAGTTGCATTGTGCCATGAATGAGTTAAAATATAATTATTTATATGGAAAAATCACAGATTGTAGATGAACTCATCATGTAGAAAAAATTAAAATAAGTGTAAGTAAAGATGCCAAAATTGGTCCCACTGACAGTAATATAATAATTAGAAAAATCAGTGAAATAAAAAATTCAGCAACTTTGGATATCAGAGTGCTTTTTGTGTAATTACCTGCAATGAAGTTTCTAATGAAAGCAATTACAAGCTTGTTGCAGCGATTGTGTTTGTGTATTAATAAATAAATATATTGGTTGTCTTTATTTTTTGTGTATTCAGTATACTGTATTGAACAAAATGGTTATGCCTCCCATGTTTGTCATTCTCTCAGTTATCTGGCCCACTATGAAAAAAGTTTGGTGACTCCTGATTTAACTATTCAATGATAACATTGTCCCTCGAAGTGGGTTTCTGTCTGTGGTGAGAGATGGTTTAGTAACTCTTCTTTATCATCTCTGAGATCGGAATACCCGCTCATGCGTTTGCCATGCATAGTGACCCTTATGACAAAAAGGGGAATCCTGGCATTTGATGGGCAATACACTATTTTGGCCCTTGCTTCATATAAATGTAGACATTTGAGTCTACATTTATACGAAGCAAGTGCCAAAATAGCTCCATTTGAGTCAATCATCTGGTCATTGAGTTATTTATGATTTCTGTTCAGAGTTAACTGATTGATACAGATCTGGCAGGTGTATGTCCCTGCTTGGTAGTTTTGACAAAAAAGTTTTTTACTGCATTGTGATGTAGTAGTTTTTTTTTACTGCATTGTGATGGTAGTTTTTTTTTACTGCATTGTGATGGTATAGCTCTTGGGAAACACTGATGTGACAATCTATGGCAGAAGTGGCAAACCTATGGCAAGTGTGCTCAAAGTGGCATGTACGGAGAAATGTGGCACGTATTATATCATATGATTTTGATTTATTATTGTCTTCTTTAATCATCCTTTCAGTTTATCACCCAATCTTCCTTTTTTCAATCAGCTTTTTTTACGTTTATTCTAATTAAAGCATATTTGTTTAATTTATTTAAATATCATTATTTGAAATCAAACTTTGGCATGCATTAACATCTTTAAAGCTAGTATGCTTACTAAATGGCACACAGGCTCTAAAAGGTTTGCCACCCCTGGTGTATGTGAATCTCTCATGTGACAGTATTCCCTTGTCGGGCTCCACGGTAGGTGGGGTTATTGGGCGCTGAATATCTTTATTTTAATTGTGGATTCCAAAAATACAAAATGATTGAACAGACCAACCATCTCAAAACAACAACAGCATTTCTAGTCAGCAGCCTACTTGATAGTGCATGAAACTGGAGAAAAACCTCTAAGTTTTTTTCTTTTCTGATTCAAAAGTTGTTTGAATCAACTATTGGTCACCCAAAACAGGTTCAAAAGCTACAATCAGGAGACTTCCTGATACAGGTTCAAACACACAATGGATTATAAAACAATTTAATGGAACTGTTGTGGTTTTCTCAACAACTTCTCTGATATTAAATATCTAACATCAACCATTTCATCTCTCTGTGTGATACTCCAGGAAACACATTTGAAACAATATCTTTAAGAGGATTTCATCTTCATCACAAGATGATGATAGCCACAACCGTGCCAGTGGCAGTGTGGCTATACTGGTTTCAAATCATATCCCATTCTTCCCAGTACAAATAACCACAAACTTATAAGCAGTAGCAGTTAGAATTTCATTACTGTCACAGTTTGTTCTATATAACTGTTACCAGATGTCAGAGTCAACCAGGATGAATTGGATACATTGTTTAAACAGCTACCCCTACTTGGAGATTTCAGTGGCCACAATCCAATTGGGGCAGTCCTGATGTCAGTTGTTGAGGCAGATCCATTGAAAAATTTATAGGCAATTAACAATTGTATTCATTTAATACTGGAGAGGTGACATACGTCCATGCCCCAACAAGAACATTCATCTCAATTGATTTGTCATTGGGAATTCCTAACTTGTTTTCAGCATTTTCATGGGAGATTAGATCTTATCCACTTTCCAGTGAGTTCTTTACAATATTTCTAAAATATCTAGGTTGACAAAGCTATGAAACAGCTCATCCACCACACTAGAAACTAGATAAAGCTAATTGTACCAAATTCTCTTTATTGGACCAAATCATTTTCACCTTGGATGATTTGGTTAACATTCCTGATATCAGTGATGCAGTCGAAGCTACCACTTCTCATATTATTCAGGCAGCTGAAAGAACAATGGGGAAAGCATCAACTAGCTATCCTAATCAAAAACATGGTGAAACCAGGATTTTGGGGCATACAAATAACAAAAGAAAGCATGGGGAATTTTTAGAATATTCCCTACTGCTAGCAATTTAATTACATTTCAAAAACAAAGGCAAATTCCAGGAGGATAAGGAGACAAAGACAAAGGGATTCTTGGAGGAAGTATGTATTTAATATTACATCCTCCACTAGCTCAAATGCAGTCTGAGATAAAATGAATGGAAAATATGCATCTCACTCTCTTCATGTTGGAAGATAATGAGCAAAATTAGTGTCATACAAGGTATTGCTGATTTGTTAGGTACAATTTTTTCTACAGCATCCAGAAATATAATGTACTCAATCGATTTAAAAGGTTATAAAAACTCGCATGGAAAAATAAGTTTTAAATTTTGATTCTTTATCCAGTGAAGAATACAATGTGTCATTCAATTGAACACTGCTTTAGATTCAGATAAAATCTACTACAGCATGATTAAAAATCTGTCATACAATTCCCTTTCTAACCTTCTGAGTCAAACAGAATATGAACAAAGCATGCTTTTCCTGACTCTTGGGACTGTTCATAATTATTTCTATTCCCAAACGTGGTAAAGACCAGAAGAGTCTGACTAATTATAGATCAATATCTCTGACAAGTTACCTTTGCAAAGTTTTTGAGAGAATGATAAACAATGTTTGACATTTCTCCTAGAGAAAATAATTACTTTTCACCACATCAGAGTGGATTTCGTAGGAACAGAAGTACCACGGACAATTTAATAAACCTTGAAACATTATCTGTGAAGCATTTGTACAATGACAACACTTAAGTGTCTGTGTTTTTGTTGTTTAAATGCATTAAATTCAGATCATATAAAGAATTTTAAATGAATAGATTAAGATGATAAATTTATAAAAAGTGAAATTTTAAAGACAATCTGTTCTTATTTTGTTTTCATTCTTTCAAAGCTCTAATGATGTATTATATTTATTTTTTTTATTTGTGTTATCTAATTTATTGTTATTTTGACAGGTTCGTGGAAATGAAACAGCAGAATTGGAAAGCGGATTTCAAGCTTTAGCATTGGAAGCAGGGCATCCATTACAGGTGAGAAATAATAATAGTAATAATCTCAAAGTATATATTAGATTTATTATTATTGTAACATTTGCTTATAGCTCACTAAATAAAAATGTTGTTAGAAGTATACTTATAATTTTGTAATTTATAACAGATAGATAATTATTATAAATTTATCAGTTTTTACTTTCCCTGCTGTTGTACAAAGGGAAAGTATGTTAATCCAGCAAAAAATGACCTTCAGATTTTTAAAGTTTTGGACTAAGACACCTTGAAACATTGAGAAATGCAAAAAATTTGGGGTAATTTCTGTATGTATGGACATTAGTGTGTGTGTAAGTGGGGAAACAATTTTGTTCACTCTGTTTGAAGCTTAATAACTCCTGTGCTTTTTGTCAAAATTTTGAAATTTTGCAGGGAAGTTTGTTTAAGTTTTTAAAATAAAATATCATAACAGATGGCAGTACCAAAATTTTAAATGTTTTCAAGGAAGTTGAGCATCCTGTTACTGGTTTATTTATAAAGTGCTAACAATTTTATTTCTATTATTTTGTAAATGTACTTTTGTCGTAACATTAGAGAAATGCAGAAAAGTATTATAGATTAATGGAATTTCACAGCATTTTATTTAAAATTGAAAGTAGAAGTCTAAAATATAAATGAACAACTGTTTAAAATAAATCTGAATACATAATTATTTATCAACTGATTGCTACATATTTAAAATGCTATTGTGTCAATGTTTAAATTTGTTCAGAAAGTGAAAGAAATTGTAAAAATGTTCATCTACTATTTAATTTGGGTTTTTTTAACTAGCAGAATTTTCACACTTTTAAATTATAGTAATGTTTTAGTTGAAGCTTCTTGTCCTTTAATTGTTGTCTTTAAATCATACTAGAAATTCTCATGTCAAGTATGATGGACTATTTTCTATGAGAAAGTAGAGGTTGAAAAATTGAAAAAAATATGATGTCAAGAAATTCAAAAGTAATAACCAATATTTCTACAAGTTCAATAGCTTATACTATCCGTCGGAACATAATTGAAGCATGATAATACATTTTAAATAACAGGCTCATTAGATCGTTACTTTTGATTGGATAATAGAATGTCACGTGGTCACTGGAAAGATTTTTTTAAAAATTTGTTATAGAAATATCTATGCAATACAACTAACTTTTAAGTCCAAGTAGACAATATACACACAGAAATTTAAAAAGTAAGGACAAAGAGGTAAAAAGAATCAACTTAAGGGAAATTCCGTTGTCAAACATGAACTAAATGAGGTCACTGATTTCACTGCAACGTAAGTGCAATCAACAATCTGAAATCAATAAGACATTTTTTCTGTAGCTAGTATTTCTACAAAATAAGTAGCCTGTACTTTCCATCAGAATATAAAACGAATATAACCAATTAATTTGCAATAAATAACTATGATCATCATTGGCTTTTCCATTATAATTACAGAATCATCACATATCTTTTCAATTTTTTATTTAAACAACATAAAATTATCCAGAATGTATTTCAGCCTGTTGAAAAGTATTTCAGTCAGGTAACTTACATATACATTTGACATTATGGTGTTATAAATAAACATCTATAAATTAATTCGATGAAGTAAAAAATGCAACATTTATAAAAATCGACAATTACCATACATTTTTACCGCATTCAACAGTGACAGTGCAAAACATCCATAAAAATTGATTTCAAATGTATAAAACACCATAACCATACTCAGAGTTAATTTTATACTTCATATATGTTTAGTTTTTGATTACATTTTTGTGTAGTGTATTCTTATCTTCTAAATGTAATATACCATTTAACTGATATTAATCCAAATTGAAATAAATTTTTATGGATGTTTTGTGTTGTCGTTGTTATTGAACATGGTGAAAATGTATGGTAATTGTTGGTTTTTATGAATACTTTTTTTACTTTGTCTGATTCTTTTATAGATGTTTATTTATAACACCATATTAGTAAAGTTTGATAATTTAAGGACATACTATACAGGACAAATCAGATTCTTTAGATAGTCTTTTGACAGTATGCATTTTAGGTCCAGACCCCTATTCAGTTGTAACCGTACTAATAGATGACATTGGTTCTGAGTAAAGCAAAAAGGAAAATTTTAACACTAAAAACTTAGTTTGTCTTTGCTTTAAGTTAAAAAAAAAATAGTTATTTGATTAATTTATAAATGGATAACAATAATACAGTTTCATGCCATTGTAAAGAATTACAATTTAATAATATATTTCATTTATCAGAAATTCAATTTCCAAGATTATGAATTAGAGTAATAAAAGTTAAAGGCAAGCATACCATGCTAGGCTTGTGTCATTTCATTAATACAGTATAAAATTTTTTGTTAATTTTATTTCATCTAATTTTAATCTTAAAGGCAATTTGCAAATATTGTTTTCAAATTCTTATAATAGTTTTGTGAAATTCTTGGCTGTCATTTCAGTTTTATTACACTTAATTTAAAACATGCTTTTGCACTGGAATAAATTAAATTTGTTTTATTAGTTATATCTTTATATAAAAAAAATTGTTATGAAATATGCTCTAGCCCAGGATTTTCCAACCTTTTTTCTTTATGGGCTTTTTAGAAATTTTCTTATATTCAGTGGGCCACAAAGGTACCTTATATAAATATATGCTTTTAAAAAGTTCAAAATATGAATATCAAATTTTAAGAACAAATATATATACCAGTAATTACAAAAAATACTGTATTGTTGTACAGTAAAACTATCACGAAATAAAAATAAATTCAATGCAATTTTTGGCATTGCTTTTCTATTACAATATTGTCAATATCTGCATTTATGGTACTACAACTGCTAGACGAAAAATTAGAATATTCACCTAACTGAAAGTTTAGTGTATATTTTTTCATGAACAACACAGTATGAAAATTATTTTTGACACCACATAAACAACGTATATGTATATTTATTATATCCATTAATCAGACAAATTAACTCAAATGTTTTTTTGTTATAATTGAAAATGAAATGACAAAAAAATAGAATAACAGTTTGACTGACAAAAAATTAGAATATTAGCTAAATGTGGGTTAAATGTAGGAAATACAACAAAATAATCTTAATATTTTGTAGCATTGCCGTTTTCCATAAACACTGCTTACAATCTGTCGGGTATGGTCATATTAATGCTTTACATTCATTTTTAGTGAATCAGTTCCAAATGTGTCAAATGCATGTCACTATTTCCTGTTTAGAAGTTGGGCACTGTTCATTAAGTTGTCGTTTCATGACCCCACAAATTTTCAATGGGGTTTAAGTCTGGGAATTGCTTGGCCAATGCAGGATTGCAATCTATTGTTCTTGTAACCAACATATCGTTGACTTTGCAGTATGAGAGGATGCCTCATCTTGTTGATATAGAAGTGTTTCCTCAAATAAATCCTCTGTTGATGGTATAATAAATGTCTTGATATGTCTGTGCATTGACATGTTCCCAAAGAATGCACAGTTGTCCTACACCGTTAGTATTCATGCCTCTCCAGATCATGGCAGACAATGCAAACTTTAAGGATCTCTTCGCATAGTCTTTTTCAAAGGCCTCTTTGGTTGTTCTTCATATACATGAGCTTTGGTCATCACAGGAGAGACAAAACAGGGATTCGTCATCAAAGAGAACGTTGTTCCAGTTGTTTTCTCCTCACATGAGCCTCTCTGCACCATCTGATAAACGCTTGTCGTTGCTTTTTCATTAGAGATGGCTTCATCTTGGGGACACGGCAGTTGAAGTGCAAATCATACATTTTTCAGCATGTGCTTCAGCTACAAACATTCACTCCAGTTGTTCTGCATTGTGCATGCAAGTGTTTAAAGATTTTAAAGCAGTTTTACACGTCAATCCTTCTCAAGTTTCTCTCATCCCTTGCAGTTGTTGCTCATTTATGTCCACATTTCTGGCACATGTTAGTTAAAACTTGAACAGGGTTTTGTTGTTTCAGTACTTTAGAAAATGTTGGCTGCAAGCACTTTACATAATTCACAATTTCTTTCTGCGTTCTTTCTGCTTTGTGCAAGGCTATGATAGTATCTTTAGTTCTGTTACTGATGTCTCACTTATGTCCCACTGTTGTACTGTTATACTACGTTGCTTAGCAATATGCAAATTTGCATCACAATTTAGTTATTTATGGCTGTTTTTGCTGCTAATTTAATATTTTGTCACTGTCAGTGTTATTTTATTTTTTTGTCATTTCATTTCCATTTGTAATAAAAGAAACATTTGAGTTAATTTATCTGATTAATGTATATAATAAATATACATATACATTGTTTATGTAGTGTTGAAAATAATTTTTGTACTCTGTGTTGTTCAAGAGAAAATGCACACTAAAGTTTCAGTTAGGTGAGTATTCTAATTTTTTGTCTAGGAGTTGTAGTCTTAATTCTAAGAATGTTAGTTACATGGGAATCACTCAATTTATTTCTTTTAGCAGTTTTGATGTTTTTCATGTATGAAAAGAATTGTTCACGACAATATGTACTATCCCACATGCATAACAGTTTTTCTAGATAAAACAATTTTCTAGCACCAATTACGTTCATTATGACACCAAATTGTATACAGTGAAACGCGAATAATTTTTATGACATACTTTATCAAAATAAATGTAAATGTACCTAAAAAATTTAGGTTGCAGTGGGCCGCATAAAAATATTAAGCGGGCCACAGGTTGTACATCCCTGCTCTAGCCACTTATAAATGACTTAGAACTTTCAAAGATACTTTGTATAACTTTGAGTGGAAGTTTTAAAATTGAATGAGATAAAATGAAAGAAAAATTGATTGTGTTGTGATAATATCATATTGTAGCACTCTTAAGCATGTGATAAATTATTTATAAATATTACACTTCTCTAAAATATTGCTATAATTTAAAATACTTATTTTATTTCATGTAGATTTTTTGTGCAAAAGTAAAAATCACAAAGGGGAGAGAAATTATAAAGTAATAATTTTTAAAATGTAAATATTTAAATGGTATTTACTAACTTTTGAAGAGAAAATTACAGTAACAAGTTTTATTACATGGAGTTATCAAACAACTTTTGCACTAATCATCACAACATTAATGCATAGTGCAAATGCTATATTTGATAAAGAAGATAATAGCAATTTTTATGGTAGTCTTGCTAATTTGGACAAAATAGCTAATTTTTGATGATTGCAATTAGATTATTGACATTTTAGTTTGGTTTTGTAGCTGCTGGCTGCACATGAGCTTGTATAACATGTGGCCAGTCATACGTATGTTTTATATTCACCAGCTGCAAGTTCATTTTTCCTGTTGTAATTCTATAGATGTATTTGTGAAATGAATAGTCATCCAACACAACACTTATGATCTTATTGAAGCTTTAAATTAATTATTATTCAAATAAAAAATATACTGTATTAACTGGTTTTTGGAACATTTTAAGAAGTTAATAGATAATGAAGATTATACTTCAATTTGTGTTAATCAGTATGTGATCTCTGTTTCAATATTGAATAAATTTAATATAGTTTTTAGTAAAATCTGAAAGGATGAAAAGGCTGTTTCGTGTTTTCATTTTTTTAACATTATATAGCAACATCATCATTTTGATCTATTATCAGTAGTAAAGTATTATTGAATGCCATTATGTAAGTTCAGCTGATGATAATGCCTTTAAAGGAATGGATTACAGTTCTTTTTATGTTCATTGTAACACATTAAAAAAAAAAAACTATAATAAGAGGGAAAATTGGAAACCCCCTGTATAATAATTTTAAAATATACCTTGAGTGATGAATAAGGTAATAAAGTCTAATATAACATACCTGTTTCTGTTTATTAATAATATCACAACAGATGATTCATCTTGTTGGTAAAGAATGATGTTATATACATGTCTTAATTAATAGATTCAATTTGAGTCATTATAAGCTTTATTTCATTACAGTAGCTTGAGGCAAATGTGATTCATAGAGCCTCTATGGAGATTCAAAATTGAAGCTCTTAATTTGTTAAAGTAAAAATGTAGCATGCAACCACAAAAGCTATCACTGCAAACACAATGTAAAAATAAAAAATATATAAAAATTTGAAGTCTGTATACTAATATTAATTTTTTAATATTTATTTCCAAGATTGTCACAAATGAGATACACACACCATTTTATGATTGTCTCATATGTCAAGAAAGTCCAATATGGATCCATAAAGACGATCCATTTCCAACAACTGTGAAAAGGGAGAGAGAGCAATAAAAGTCATGTTTGCTGTTTTTTTTTTCCTGTATCACTGGTCTGGCAAAAGCAATTAACCTTGATGAACAGAAGACAGTAAATGTCTTTTGTTCATCAAGCTAATTGGTAGACTACAGTTTGTCTTCTAAAATTCTGGAGTCACTGAAAATTTCAGGTCAAATATATCATTGTGATAATTCTTCATCACACACTGCCAAGAAGACTGTTGATTTCCTTCAAGCTATTCAACATCCATCATATTCACCAAGCTTCAATCATTCAACATCCATCATAATCACCAGATTTGGCATTGTGTAACTTCTGACTATTTTTTTTTTAATTTCAAAAATAAAAAAAAAACATTTCAGGAGTAGTAAATTTAATACAGAGGATGAAATTGAAGCTTCTGTGACAGTATTTTGATAGCATTCCAAAAAATGAGTGGCATCCTGCTTTTGATTTATGGAAGGAGCAACTACATAAGTGCATTTTGGCTGGAGGAGAGTACTTTGAACATAAATAAAAAATATTTAGTTTCAGGCCTTACAGTATTCTTATATTGCAAAACTTTCAGTCATCCTTGTATTAGACTGAATATTAGTGTTAATGGAATACTTGAATTAATATTTAAATAATAGACATTTAAGAGTACATATTATTAATTATGTAGCATTCTAAATCATTTAAATTCATTCATTAATAAGTATATTTGATTATGTACTATACCTATTAATATACAAATATATGTAATGTATTAGTATATTAATATATTAAGTATTTGAACAGTTTATTATTAGTAAAATATTATACCCACCTTGAAAAACAAATTCAGACATAGTCAAAATTTCAAGTATCAAATATTTTTAAAAGATATCACAATTATCTTCAATCAAAATAGTTCCTCTTACATCTGCAAAACTGTTATAAAGTGTTCTCAATCAATTAATCAGATTCTAATGAAAGTCCTTTGCAATTTCAGTTGTTATTTGGAGTGATATGCTTTTCAAAGATATTTAACTGTAGGATATTTGTTTCATATCAATTTTTCCATTTGCTTTTTATTTAAATGATCTCAATACCACTTTGCACTTAACTACCACATGCTTTTATGAATTTGGCAGATCAAGTGACTGCTAGGATGAGTAAATTCTGCGATAAGAAAATGTAATAGATTTTATTTAAATATTGTAGTGACTTAATATAACATGGACTTATATATGATACAGACAGCTCGAGGACCCCAATTTATCATCCAACCTCTCTAGATCCTTCTGCCTCTCTTTCATCTTATTGTAGGATACTGAGTTAACTTGGAAGTTAGCAGCATAGTTAAAAATCATATGATTCAGTTTGCAATATTTTAATGGTTATGCCTATATTTAGGTGCTTGCCATTGTCTAAACCTAGCTTAACCCTTGGATGTTTCAATATGAGAAGTGCTGAAACTAAATGGATTACCAACCATTTTGTTCTAGCATTTTTCATAATGAAACATATCTGAGTAGGTTGAATGGTAAGTTGATAGTGTTTATTATGTGACATGGATTGCTTATAAATATGGCAGATGGGATTTTTCCTTGAAATGTGGTTTTGTATACGGTATGTTCAGAATTTTTTGGATCCCAATAACTATTATATGTAATCACCAGATTATTTTATTTTTAACATATATTTCTTACTTAATATAAAATTAAATTGATCAATTTTTATAGATTTCTGCTAATTCTAAAAAAATCTGGGGATTAGAAGACAATTCATTAAAAACTGTAGATAAAGGCATATTTGTTGGAGATCATTGGCGAGATACTCCATGGAGCACTGGTCATAATGGAGCTTCAGGTTTGTTGTTTTATTAAAATTTCTTTTACTAGATATAGTTGATATTATATATAAATGTGTTTTTAGAAAGAATTTTATATAAGTTTACTAACAATGTATAGTATATGTACTCTCTCATCTATTTTCCTACTAAATAGTGGTATTACAGTATACTATAACTAAATCAACACCTGTTCACTCGCTGAGAGATTTATTCTTAACACAAACGTTTTCAATCCAATCAATGGATCATCGTCAGGTAAATTAGAACATTTCAAAAAATAGAACAACAAGTTCAAAATACAAAAAATATAAATATTAATAACGGATAACCAATATATTACTAACAGCAAAATAACGTTTTTAAATAATATAATTAATACAAATGCTGCTAAAATTATAAATAAAAATAAAATATTAAAATATAACAAATAAATTGTGTATACAAAATATTAATACTTCAAACTTAATAGACAAATCGATAACACTATATATTAATAATGCTTAATAAACTGTACGGAGTTTCTCAACTAAACTATACAGAGTTTTTTATATACATAATATTAAAGCTCCTGCTCTTATTTGAAGTTTTTAACTGCAAACTTCCATGCGGAAGGAAGTCCCTCGGCATCCCTTGCGTTGATGCAATTCCCTTTAAGTTTGCTTTTATAAATTTCTAATTTTTCGGCCGTTTTTGCCAAGGTCGGGGAGTGTATTTGTTTCAGTATATCTGCTTCATTCCATCTTACTATCGAACCCTCCGTTTGCGCCATTTGAGACAATACTGTGGCATTCGAACCTTTTCTCACATCATATCTGTGCTCTTTTATCCTTACCCCTAGATTTCTAGTANAATTTTAGCAGCATTTGTATTAATTATATTATTTAAAAACGTTATTTTGCTGTTAGTAATATATTGGTTATCCGTTATTAATATTTATATTTTTTGTATTTTGAACTTGTTGTTCTATTTTTTGAAATGTTCTAATTTACCTGACGATGATCCATTGATTGGATTGAAAACGTTTGTGTTAAGAATAAATCTTTCAGCGAGTGAACAGGTGTTGATTTAGTTATAGTTTATTATTTTCTGCTGAGCACGCTTTGGGTTGATTACAGTATACATAATATTTTTCAGTAATTGCAAATATTTATCATATATATAATGGTATCTATATAATATTTTTCTATGACAATCAAATTCCGAAGGAATTGTATCATGAAAACAGTGTAGTATTAATATATTGAATTTTGAGATAATTGCTATAATCATCATGGTTTGAAAACTGTTTCAAGGCATTCTTAACTTCGAGTACTCTAGTCTAGAGATAACAAATTTACAAGTCATTATTCAAGTCATAATGAAAGAAATTTGTAGTATTTTAATTAGTCATCATTTTACTTTTGAATGTGTATCAGATGTTGCTGTAATAATCTATAATTGCTGATAATTATAGTAACAAAAATAAAGGAAAAATCAAAACTTGATAAATGACATTTAATCAAAGACACTGTTTTCATAAAATAGAAGAGAGAAGTCATAAGAAAATAAGTGAATTATTAGACAAATTGTGGGATAAAAAAATTATTATTAAAAAGAAATGTTATTGAAAATTACTTGCCACTTGTAAATTCTAATTTCAATTACAGAAAAACCTATTTACAATGGAACATGGCAGTACTAGTAGAAATGATCTATTTTGTCAGGTTTACATTGTACAGAGGATTTTTATTAACCCCTTTTTGCCTGATTTGATTTAATAGTAATAACATATTAAAAATATTTTGATAATGAGAAGATATTATATTTAGCTGATATTTATGAAATAAACAGTTTATTTCTGAAATATAAGTAAAGTCTTCATAAGTGTATATTCTGACTGTTATATTTATAGTGATGATTTTAGTTTCTATTTGTGTGTCATATTGCAATAAACAAAAGAATTATGTCTAAACAGACTTATAATAATGGAGTCTATTGCATTAAAAACTTTCCTGATTTGTACCATATTTTTGCAGAATGACTGGCATGCCATAAATAAATGGGGGAGATCAGCATGCCAAAATCCCAGGGTTACCGGCATGTTGGTTAAACTGCAACTAAAATTTAAAATTAATCAGATCTAGTCATTAATTAAACATTAAAGAAAACATTCTTCCAAGTGCAATAAGATAATAACATTGTAATTTCACTGACTTAAAATTAGGAAGAGAGTTTTTGTTTAAGAGACAATAAAACAATTTATGACTTATTGGCATTAATTGTAGTAGAAGGTAATAGTTAGTCAATATTAGGGTTTCTCATTTCCAGGTCTTTTGCTTGTCCCAGGATTCAGGGTTAAAAGTGAACGGGATTGCAGGAAATCCTGAGATAAAATTAATTATTTTTAAGTTATACAAAATATCTTGAAATCAAATGATATAATTATTTTTCATTTTTTAAAGTAATTTAATACATTTTGCAACTTCCAAAATCATATTAATAATTCTGTGTAAAAAATATATTAAAAATTACTTTTGAATTATGTAGAAATTTTCATAAATAGAAAAATTTATTAAAGTTTGCAGGAAACTGCATACAACAACAACAACAACAAATGCTTTGAATTGAGTTGAAAATTTCAGAAAAAATGAACTTAGATCAAACTTCTAACTTGAAGGGTAATTTTCGTTTTTTTAAATAAAACATAATACAAAATATTATTGAAATTTTTATAATAGGATTTTAAAACAAATTGACTATTTATATATACAGTTGCAATTGGCTATTTAACGCTTTTAAAGCCATGACATAAAGATGACAGTTTTAATGTTATTTATAATTTAGGATATTGTAAATTTCGATTATCGATATCCTAGTTATATTAATTATCGAGAAATGAGAATTAAATCGTTGAAATGAGAATTAAAAATAATGGCATTGAGGAAAATCCTGATAGCAAAATATCAAAATTTTATAATACATTGGTGGAAACATGTTCTTGTTCATTTTGGAATTATTTTATTACACCATGTCGTCATATTCTTATGATAAGAAAATATAATAATTTGGACATATTTTAAAAAATGCTTTCATGCAAGATATATTATTTCAATTGAAGATGTACTAAGTATGGATACAGATGATGTAAATGTAGACATTGATGATCATATTGAAGATGAAACTTTTACTGATGATTTTGATTATTGAAATTATTATCGGATAGGGAAAAATTTAATACGGCACTGGCAATAACTAAAAATATTTCAGATATTTTGTCTAATTATGGAACGCAAACCTTCAATAAATATGTAGAGGAATTAAAAGTAATAGAAAGCAATGCAAGAAACGGAATTTCTCTTTTTGATCATGAGAGTAGTGGCTTAGTACAACTGAACCAGAAGAACCTGAAGAACAGATTTGGTCTAATAACGAGCCTTGTTCAAATCAATCAAATAAAAACTTAAAATTCAAAACTAAAATTAAATTCAAAGGACATCCGAAGAGAAAGATAAGCAGACCACTTTTTACAAAAAAAAAAATACATAATACATAATAAAAAATATGTTTATTTTACTTTATTGGTATATTTACCAATCTACTTTCAATTTTGTTACTTATATTTCACTGATTTAATGATACTTCATAGTTTATTGATTACTTTATTGAACAACATTGTAACTGACCTTTAGTAAATAAAACTATAATTATTTATAATTGTGTAGTTGTTATCAAAATATTAATTGTTATAATAGCACATACAGTCAGTATCCGGCCAGAATATAGGAACATACAGTCAGTATGTATAAATAGCCACACCCATTTTAAAAAGCAAAGATGGTCAATGTTCCAATCACTCGATCTGGTTCTTATTTAACTAATAAAAACTCCTGCTATCAAGAATGCGCTTTCTGATTCATTTCATGTGGGTGGAATCGTCTTTAATGCATTTAAGAGAAGACAGATGTTATGTGTTTTTTCACCCGTCGCCTGGAAGGGTTCTAGTTTGTTTTCGAGATTGTAATACTTCTTTTGCTGTCTTGTATTCTTGATTTGTCTACCTCAGCACTTTAATAGAAACATCAAGTTTATGGCCCAATAATTCAGCAGTTTGTTTGTCTTTAATAATCAGGTTTATGAAGAAAAACTTCATATTTGCAGACTTTGTACTCGTTTGTATCCTTGCCCAATTTGCACAATCTGGCATTATGCAGTTATCAAAGCTACTTGGCATGGTTAAAAATTAAGACAGTGTAAGCACAATTATTCCATATATTACAGGTTCTGACAAGTAAAGAATTTTCTGATTCCTGCCACAAATAAGCTACATATTGATTATTGACCATTTGTGACATGCCATAACGAGGAAAAATTTTAAAAATCTAATAAGTAAGTTTAAAATTAATAAATACAAATGCATTCTGATAGTTTGAGTTAATTATATTTTCTATTTGCAAAATTTCCTGAATCTTAACACAAAATAAGAAAAAAGTGAATTTTTAAGAAATTTGTGGGATTTTCTGGGATATTTCCTGGGTTAAAAAAACAACTGGGATCTCGTTTGAGAAACCCTAGTCAGTATGGACTGCACTGACCATCTACCCTGACCTTAAAAATAACATCTTTCTCTCAAATTTCACACAAAGCCCATTTTAATGTAAGTGGAGATAATTTACAGCAAGTGTCTTAAATTTAATATGTTTATTTTTGAATTTTGAATCAGATAAGAATAAAATACAGGTAACCCCTGTATAACACGGCACTTCTATAGCACGGATTCACTCTAACACGGTTTGAGAATTGGTACTATTCCCCGTATAACACGGTACTTTTATAGCACGGATTTACTCTGACATGGTTCGAGAATTGGGGAAAACCCTCGTACAACAGGAAATGTAATAAATTTTTACATACTTAAGTAATAACAGTTCACGAAAATTATTATTTTCGTGAACTATTAGTACTTAAGTATGTAAATTTTCTCTTCTCGCCTTCTGTCGATACACATGGTCCTTCTCGAAACTTGTTTCAATGTTGCCAGATCGCGACGCTTCTGCTTCTGATGTTGCCGAATGTTTTTCCCTTATTCCATACTTGCTTTATTCTTCATAAGTGCTTAGCACCATATAAGGAAATTTATAAAGACCTTTTAACTAGAAGCAAGCAATCTAAAATTACATACATTTTGCAAAAGGTAAAGCATGGATCTGAAGATAATGCAGAAAAATGCTCAGAGGATAAGGATAACTTGCCAAAAAGAAAACGCTCTCGGTTAATTAATAGTGTTTTTAGTGATGACGAAGAAAACATTGTTTAATTTATATTAATATGTATCACTTAAAAAAATTTTAATGAAGATATTTATCTTAATTATGAAAATATACTAGCATGTTTTTTAATTTTTGGAACCTAACTCTCCTTTTCGTATTAGTTCTTTGTTTCGTATAACACGGATTCGCATAACACGACAATTTTTTGGAACGTAACTACTGTGTTATATGGGGGTTACCTGTACTCATAAAAAAAGCACTTTCCGAATTCCCAGAGTATTTTATGTGGTTAGAAAGAAGACAAAATGAAAAAATAAACATATAATCCTAGTTTTTGATGTAATGCTGATGGTTTCACAGTTTAGAATAAAAATGCATTTGTTTTTGTTTTATGTGCAGTCTAAAAAGGGATATGTAACCTTGCTTAAACTTACATGCAGTTTTTACCATATGAAAATATCTGATTTCATGGTTTCTCCTGGATAGACTGACATGCTGGTCAATTTGCAAAAATACATTATAAATTTGTTTGTGTGTGTGTTGTTTTTGTTTATGATGAGAAGACAAGTCGATAAATTTATCTACATGTTACACTCCAAGCATTATTTTATTGTTTAATTAACAGGTTAGTAATCATAATATGTTAGATAATAAAAAATTTTATTTTTGTAGAGCATGCCATGTCACAACCTGTAATGGTACAGAGACGAAGCGGCTCTTATCCCGGAAGTGACACCACTAATCTGTTGTCGCCACGGTCAACAGACACTGGAGGTCTGGGCATGAAGATGGTGGAATATGTTCTTGGCAGCTCTCCTGTTTCAAAGGATTTAGATTCTCATATGACACACATGCACGTTGGTTTAATGGTAATTATGTAAAATTATAAAAATCAAAATTATTTATATTGTGAATGATAGTACAAAAATTTTTTCTCTCAAGATAATCATTAAATGAAATGATGTGAGAAAACTTTCTTAAAATTTAAAATTTAACTACATATTTCTAATATACTATCAAACTAATTACATTAATTTTTTTAAAGAATACCTGTTTTTAATTACAAATATTTTGTCATGAATTTATATATATATATATAAATGGACGTGTGTGTCCCTATATTTCAGTTTTCAGCCAAAACTACACATCACACGTGAATGGTGTTTGTATGTTGTAGTAGCCCCAAGTCTCCATTTGTGCACTATGGTGGTTGCATCTCAATAGCTATAAGGGTGTGGGAGATATGGGGTTTAAAGTGGTTGACTTCGAAGATTTTCTATTTCAATTTTAAAAATGTTTGAACCGTTTTAAATTCGAATTGGTTCGATTATAGAACAATTGTAAATGTTCCAAAAAAATTGATCAAATTGAAAATAGTTTGTTTGACTGGACGTAAAAATTCTCTAATTAGTCTGGAAATGGGGGATCTAATTCTTTCATTCTGTGAAAACGGGTAAGATTGGCTATAATGTAATTATCTTAATCTTCACTATCGTTACTTTTTGCCCACAAATAAAAACCCAGCGAAGCGGGTCCTTGCAGCTAGTATAAGTATAAAATTGTGAGATTATATAGATAAATTATGTAGGGCTTAAAATTCATGTGGTTTAGTTAATTTTATTAGTGTTTACTTACTGTTACTGTTTTCTTTATTGCTGATATTTGTCTATGTACAAATGGTAACTTTTAATGTAAAAAACTGAATCACTTTATTAAGATTTATTTAGTAATTAATTGGAAAATTTTTTAATAAATGAATTATTGTAATATTGAGAAAAACTAATAAATTATGATTGCTTTAAGAAGATAAAAAACATTTTAGGGATAAATTAAAATTTTGCTGAAGTTGAAGGATGATTAATTTTAGTTTCTCACTTGCCTGTTTATCATGGTTGAATGTGAAATGGAGTTTCAAATATAATCTTTGTATTGATTTCTTCCAACAAGCTTTTAGCAGACCACTTGAAAAGTATACAAAAATTTAATGTCTAACTTTTTTTTAAAAAATAACAAAAGATATATATTTTAGAATATTTCATTGTAATGCATTTTTTATCAAGTGATCAAAAGAATTTATTTATGATTTATTGGGATGAGCCAAAAGTTGAAAATTGGTGTCAGGATGTTGAACTGTGCAGATTTCAGCAACCTGTGGCCAGGACAGTTCATTTGTATGATTAAGATTTTCAAAGTGTGTTAGTCTGAGTTGTAGATTGGCAGTATACCATGGTATCATGGTGTACAGCAATCAGTTTGAACAGATTTGGTATCACAGTGGTTGCCATGATACCAAATCTGTTCAAACTGATCGACAAGCTGTGATGGGTTGCAGAGTAGCCAAAATTCATAACCTGCTTGTCTCAAGATGGAGTTCAGTAAAGATCATAAAGACACCACCAATCAGATACAATCAGTCTCTGGGTATGATGTAAATGGCTGATATGTTGAAAAATTTGTATGACACCATTTTAGAAAATTGACAAGCATCCAAAACATAGTCAGGGACTTGTTTTAGTGGATGCTTCCATAGCTGAGACACATCAGACACTGAGCTATAAGAAGTGTGCACTATCAGTCCAGCACAAACTGACAGCAAGAAAGAAGATAAAGTGGATGTATGCTTTACTGATGTCATTGTTCTCCAAGGAAGAGAATGATTTTTGCAGAGAATAGTCACCAGACAAATCCTGGTGTCTCCATTGCAATATAGAGGACAAGCAACAATCAGTGGAATAGGGAGACATTTCTTGTTCTCCTCCATCCAAGAAAGTTTTCAATGGGTTACATTTGTAGTGAGCTGCTTTTCATTACGGAAAGCCCTTTATTTATTACCTTCTTGGAAAAGAAGGCCTCCATCAACACACTGTTATTGCAAGGTCCTTGACTGCCTCTGATGTTCTGATAATGAACACGCCCATATTGCATGTATTGTCGAAGACAGACAGTGGAAATTGGCTGTGAGGTTCTGCAGTGTCCATCTTACTTTGCCAATATACTGTACATCCACCATGTCTTTTGACCTATGAAAAAGACACTTTACATCAGACAATGATTTGATGCACATTGTTGATGAGACTATGTCTCATCTCTAAAATTGTGCTGCTGTTAATGGCTGCACACCTTAGAGGTACAAAGGAGTACATGTCAGGAGTTGCAATTTGGCACAGAGTATTTGGTGCCCAAATCATGCACACACAAAATAAACCAGACTTGTAAGTAGTCATGGGACCAAGAACCAGGCCAAAAGAAAATATGAAATGCTGAGAATGTTTCTACAAACAGGAGATTTGTGCATGAGTTGCTTATGCTCTCTGAGACATAGTTTCATCCCAAAAATGGCTTTGCTGTTTTACTTGTTGAAAGATAGTTTCAAGAACAATCAAGAACAATGGGCTGCTTCCTTCCTCCTCCCAAGTAGTGTCCTCATCTGTCACGGCTAAAGAGAGGTTATGCGCTACGCTGGCTGGCTTGAATCCAGATACTTACACATTTTATAAAATGGATGTAGTTGCGTTGCACCCTTTGGTACCGCACTTTGAAGCGGTGATGCTAGCTAATGCCTTACTTATCAAAGAGGGCTTTACTGCACAGCAGGTTTTAGAAGTTTGCAAAGCATTACTCTTTATTACGGAGCACAATTACTTCCGCTTTAATGGAAAGATTTACCTGCAGAAGCAGGGGGTGCCAATGGGCTCACTACTGTCAGCTGTATTGGCAGAACTCATCATGCAGTGCGTTGAACACAGTGTTTTTAAATTCCCTCTCACCATAGCTTACCCCTTAATTTATTTAAGATACGTAGATGATATTCTTTTGGCGTGGCAGGATACGGAAGACTCTTTCCGGGTATTAGAACACCATTTATCAAAAATGTATGCCATTATACACTTCATGTGGGAGAAGGAAGTTGGGAGAAAAATTGCCTTCTTGGACTTGCACATTCAAAAATCCCAGGAAGGCTTGAAGTTTTTTGTCAATCACAAATTTGGCAATATCCCACCCATAATACCGGCCACAGCCTGTCAACCACAGCAATATGTTAATGCGGCCATAGCTCCCTTGATCAGACGGGCATTCTTACTACCATCAAGCTGTCCGCACAACGGTGTATGCGGCCGGATTTAGTGCCTCCAAATACATCCATGTTAAAAATAGAGTCATACAGTCTCTCTTCCCTGCCACCACATTGCGCAGACCAAGGGATTGGACAACGCTCCGTCCCTCACTCCCATACTGTGGATGCTTCACGGCCCAGATCTGCCGGATCTTTAGGCAGAATGGCTTTCGTTTACTTATTGCCCCACGACCATGTCTGCGACGAATCTTATGTAATGATAGAGATGCTATTTCCACTCTGGAAAAATCTGGTGTATACTCCGTTTCCCTGCAGAATCCAATATCAGGACTATGCATCAATTATATAGGAGCAACTACCAGAATGCTGGCTGCCCGCATATCTGAACACCAACGTTCGGTGGCACTTGGCAATTGCGACACGGAACTTTCCAAATTGGTGATACAACAACATCACATAGCGCTTTGGAATCGGGTGGAAATACTCAAACGTTGTGATGAAGGGAGCTTGATATATATTTGGGAGGCCATCCTCACAAAACTGCTCTCCCCGTTCAACTCCCCTACCCTCGACTTACCGGACGTCTGGATTAATATATACAGGCGGTTAAAAAAAATCAACAATAATTTTACATTCTTTTCCCGCACCGCCTACATGACTCAAAGTGCATACGTGTCGGCCTCTTTATGTGCATCTTTTTACGTGTTTTATGTATTTTAAATTATGTCCCATACTTTAGTCTTTAGTATTTAAATATTAATGTAAACTAGCACTTATGGATCTATTCTGTTCGGTTTCTATGCTGTCTATGTTAAGGCACATGCGTGCCAAAAATTTTATACGTATTTACAAAGGGTTTTTAATTTTATCTTAAAATGTAAAATTTACTTGTTCTTAATAGCCACCCTAATTGGCTCTTATGTTATGCATGTTAAAGTGCACGCGAGCCAGTTTTTCGCGTTTACAAAATAAATAATAGCCATTTCAATTGAAGTTTATTTGTTTTAAAACGTATGCGTACCAATTTTAAATGTTTTTAATTCTAAAATTTAAATCTTATTTATAATAGTTATATTCAAAAAACGGCTAATATCGTTAATGTTTAAATTTAAATGTTAGGTTCGAATTCTCTGTTCGATTTTGAATTGCCTGAAGACGACGTGCATGTTTACGTCGAAAGCGCTCGCAAGAATAAATTATTTTTAATTATATTTAACGCCTCATAGTCTGAAGTTTTGGAAGAAGTTTTGATTGAGATGAAGAACAGTCAAAAGTTATCTAATATAAATTAGTATTGATAGGAATACCTTTGAATAAAGTGCAATGAATTGGAAAAATATGTATAATTCTTCTTCTAATCTGTTGTAAATCAAGCAATTATTATTCATTATTTCAAATAACATTAGATCAGTAAAATGAGTCTTTTGTTTTAAAAATTGCAACTTTTAAAATGATGCAAGGTATGTGAATTTTGTACACGGATAGTGCAATGGTTGACAGTCTCTTAAATTTCATTAAGTTGCTCATTACAGGTTATATGAAAATAAATCTATACATTATAGTATATGCAAAAAAATTCTTGCATAGAATATAATCTCTCGAAAATACATCCACTAAGGAGCCTTAATTAGTTTCTGGTAATATTTAACCCTTCGGTGGGCACCCCCGCGGCAAATTGCCGCAAAATAATAATAAATTTGTTTGTTTGACATTGTACTTAATTATTGTGGAAATACGTCATAGTATTCTGTCTTCATATTACAAGTTACAATTTATCTTTGAAATCGGGTCAGT